TCCAATGGGTTCAATCTAACAATGCCAGGGATTTCTTTAACCACAACCTTTCCTCACTGTTTTCGTCTCTTGGGATCCTACATGAGAGCTCCTGCACCTATACTCTCCAACAAAATGAGGTAGTTGAGCATAAACATAGGCATTTACTAGAAGTCGCCTGTGCCCTGAAACACCAAACCACCTTCCCTACTTGTTTTTGGGGTGAATGTGTGGTCACAGCCGGCTATTTAATCAATCGCATGCCAACTCGTGTGCTTGGAGGCAAAACACCATATGAGTTACTTATTGGTAAACCTCCTCCAAGTGTTTAGATGCCTCTGTTATTCAAAAGTTTTGGGATCACATGACAAATTCCGACCACGGGCTACTCCTTGCATCTTCATAGGCTACCCTATGCTGCAAAAATGGTACATAATTTATGATCCAGCAACTAAAAGATTTTCAGTCTCCCATAATGTTTCATTTCACAAAGACTAGTTTCCTTATCAAGATGTCGTTTCCAATTCAAATCCACTTCAGATGACACCATTTCTGGAAGATGAGCTTCCCTCACATCCTTCTTGTGAACTGATACTTGTTCCAAATGCTCCTAACACTACAGTTGATCTTGGGTCTCCTATTCTTACAAAAGTAGCATCTCCTCCGACACTTCCTGTTTCCTGTATCACCTGATAGAATCCCTGGTCCTCCTACACGCTGCTCTAGCTGCACAACTTGACCTCCTATTTGGGCTACTGATTATGATTGCCCCACTATACAGACATGTACAGGTATTCCTTATCCAACATCCAACTATGTGAGCTATGATAGATTATCTCATTCCCACAGTGTCTGTATTAGCTAGATATTTGCGGAACAAGAACCTTTTAGTTATTCTAAAGCTATTTCCCATGCACACTGGTGTCAAGCCATGGTTGAAGAATTATCTGCTCTTGCTCTAAATCACACATGGGATTTAGTACCTCGTCCGTCTCACAGGAAACCTATTGGCTGCAAGTGGGTCTATAAAATCAAAAACATATCTGATGGGTCTATTGAAAGATACAAAGCTTGGTTAGTTGCTAAAGTGTTCACTCAACGTGAATGGTTCGATTATGTTGAGACTTTTTCCCTAGTGGCAAAACATGTCACTGTCCGAGCTTTTTTTACTGTGGCTTCTGTTCGTGATTGGACCTTGCATCAAATGGGCATCCACAATACTTTTCTACATGGAGATCTTCATGAAGAGATTTATATGGATGTTTCGTTGGGACTTCAACGACAGAGGTAGAATCAAGTATGTCATCTTCAAAAGTCCCTATATGGTTTAAATCAGGCTTCTCGACAGTGGAATGAAAAATTTACAAATGCACTTAAGAGCCTTGGATTTTCCCAATCCAAATATGATTATGTTTTCTTCTCAAAACGAAGAGATAACACTTTTATTGCTCTTATTATATACGTAGATGACATCCTGATCACAAGAAATGATGAATCAACCATCAAGACTCTAAAACAACATCTCAAGAAATATTTTCGTATCAAAAATCTGGGGGGACCAAAGTACTTCCTTGGAATTGAAATTTGCTAGATCTCCAACTAGGATTTCCCTTAGTCAAAGGAAATATGTTCTAGAACTTGTATCTGATTCTGGATTATCAACATGTAAACCAAGTGTCATTCCTGTTGAGCAAAACTCCAAACTCACCACTCAAGAATATGACCAGGTAGTATCATCCTCAGAAATAGACCTACCATTAGAAGATGCATCACATTATCAAAGACTTGTAGGTCGTCTTATCTATCTCACTATGACATGCCCAGACATCAGTTATGTCGTCCACATCCTCACTCAGTCCATGCATAGGCCCAAACAGTCTCACATGGATGCAGCAATAAAGGTAATCAAGTATTTGAAAGGATGTACTGGATTAGGACTAGTCTCGAAATGAAAGCCTAGATATGATAGCTTATTGTGACTCAGATTGGGGTACGTGTCTAATGACGAGACAGTCTCTCACAGGGTTTTGTATAAAACTTGGAGAGCATTAATTTCTTGGAAAACAAAAAAACAGTCCACTATATCTCTCTCATCAGCAGAAGCCGAGTATAGAGTTATGACTAAAACCACCTACAAGTTCACTTGGATACTTGGATTGTTAGAAGATCTCGATGTACAAGTAAAAGGCCTTGTTTGTTTATTTTGTGACAACAAAGTAGCCAACGACATTGCACCAAATCCAGTGTTTCATGAGAGAACGAAACACATAGAGATTGACTGTCACTTCATAAGAGGGAAAATTTAGGAAGGAATCATTAAAACCATGCACATTGGCACTGCAGAACAACCATCAGACATCTTCACAAAACCACTATGCAGCTGATAGCCTTCATATCTATTACGCAAGCTTGGTGTTTACGACATTTACCAACCACGAGCTTGAGGGGGAGTGTTGAGATATGGAATGCAAATATATGTTTTAATGTGTAAATATTCTTTTCTTATATTGCCCGGATTTCATGTGATTGAGATATCCTAGCATAATTACTGCTTTCCTTTATTGTCATATTACACTTGTATAAATAGGAGTTGTACAAAGCATATGAGATATACACATACAATAGAAAAAATACAGACATTGATTCTATAATTCTTCTCTTTCTTTTTGGCAAACTTTGGCAAACACTCATCTACTCTCTCCATCTTCATCTTCTTATTCCTTTTCTTCAATTTCTGACAAAATCCCTACCCTTCAAACTTATTTCACCTTCGTCATTGTCGTCTTCACTTCTTTAGACTACAAATCTGAGATGCCAGCCACGCCACCGTTGTTTAGCTACCACCGTTCACCCTTCTATTTAAGACCTTTATTGAGCTTGGGTTTCTTCACAATGCAAAGTCTGAGACACCACTGTTGGTAGCCTTCATCCAGCCTTCATTCATCTACCGTCGTCCAACCTTCATTTGCCTTTCAATCGAAGCTGCTACAATGTCGAATATGTAAGTTTGCTGTTTTGGGTCACACTGCAAATAAGTTTGCTGCTTAAAGTGATGTTAACTTAAAGGAATCTCTAATGCATTTTTTTCTTTTTTTGCTATTTGGTAGCCAAATGGAACTGCAATATCTTTGGCTACTGGTTTTGTTGATGCAAGAGAAGAGAAGCTTCATGGGTCAGGTGGATGCAAGAGAAGAGAAACTGCTGATCTTGTTGTTGACATGATTCGGCAGAAGAAAATAGAATGCTTTTTGTTTCCCATAGACTGAATTCCATATGCTTAATGTTTGCTTTTATTTTGTGTTTTGCTTTGAATGTTGTTTTTGGATTAAGGATTGTTAAATTTATAGTTTGTGTTTTGCTTTGGATGTTATTTGGATGAATGTTTGTTTAATTTGGAGCTTATTTTTTTTACAATGTTGATTTTTGGATGAAGGCTTCATTTCCCATGTTTGAATTCTGAGATTTAGGTGAAGTTGATTGAATAGAATTTGAATTTTTTTAGGTTTTTTGCTTTGAATCATGCGATTTTGGTGAATTCAATTTAAACTGCACAGAAGGCAGAAGGCATACTGCATGCTATAATTTTTTGTTTTTTTAATATTGGCTCAAATTCGGCTCGGCTTGGCTAACAAATATCCAAGCCGAGCCGAGCTCGAGCCATCCATTTTCTTAAATAAGTCGAGCTCAATCTCGTGAGCCAGAGCTCCTTGAGCTCGAGCCAGCCACTACTAGGCTCAGCTCGGCTCGTATGCACCTCTAATTCTACTTAATTATGAGGCCCTTCAACTTTTCTGTATCAATCTTGCACCACTACACGCTAGTCGTTGTAGAGCAATGACACAGGCCTAGCAAGTTAGTAAAGATGGAGAGCTAATTTGATGTAAAATGTCTAGTAGCTGAATTCCTTTATGAGGTCAAGTGTCTAAAGCCCAGACGTGAGAAGACCAATTTTAAACAGTCATAACTTTTGATCTAGAAGGAGTTACACGGCCCATAATATATCAACGAAAAGCTCGTTTTGAGCCCTACAATGCATTAACTTGGTTCGCCGGTTGGAGGATGTTTTCGAGCCCAAAATCTACAGTTTCAGCGTGTTTCGGGGCTATTTAAGTTTTATGCGCGTATTTCCTATTTTATTTTAGGAGTTTTTTTTTTTTTTAAAATAATTTGGATTTTATTTCCTTGTTAGGGTTGCTGTCACCACTAAGGGTGAAATCAAGTCAAGTCGAGTAACTGGTAAATCGAACTCGACTCAAGTGCTATAGTACCGAGTTCGAGCCTGATTGAGCTTGAGAAATCAAGTTCGAACTTGAACTCGGTGCTTGAAATTAGAATTCGAGTTCGTATAATCAAGTTTTTTTTTAGTTTTAGTTGAGTTTTATTCGAGTTTTAATCGAGTTCGAACTATTGCTTTGTAAATTTTAAATTACATATGACCTCTATTACTTTAAAAACTATCAACTTAACCATCAAGCTTGGAAATACTCGTGAATACTTTGAGTCGAGTTCTACTGTGATCGAACTTGACTCAACTAATGTCGAGTCGAGTTTGAGCCAACATCGAGCTGAGCTCAAGCCGCTTGCGAGTGGTTCGACTTGATTTTCATCCCTAGTCACCACCCTATATAAATATTTTGTTCACTCTTTTTAAGACATTCAATGATTATTCAGATTTGATTTCAAACTTTATGACCTAAGTTTCCAAGATTGAGACTTGTTTATCAATTCTAAAGGTATAATCGAGTGTTAGCCTTCTTGTTATGCTAACTCGCTATAATCGCTCTTGCTCTCTTTTTTGAGAAAGTTTTAGACATGCATTCTGTTGCAATACCACTCAGTCAATGAGAGTTTATAACATTAGTGTTAGTATAACATAGTTTACTTTCTCATTGGTTGGTTGTGTTGTAACACAAGACATGTGAATATTTTTCATCTTAGACAACTAGTAGACACCAAAATAGCTTTCTTTGTTTTCACAAAGTTCGGGTTGAAAATTTTACAAGTATTTGCATAATTTGGATTTCAAAATGGATGAAAATACTTCTCATCACATAGAAGAAGGGTCATTTCAACTTTAGAGGAACTTTAGAAAACCTCTTAGCCATCATGTTGATTTGGCACCTCGAGATTAATTCCCTTGCCTTTCCATTCGAGTTAAGTTTTTCCTCATTACAGTTTTACAAATTTGATTGAGTCGCAAAAGCTGGAAAAATTAAACAAAGTACATAAGATTTGCACATACAAATGGGAAAATATACCTAGTCAATCGATCTTCATAAAATCAATTCATGGGAATTAAGTTTTGTGGCGTTTACGAGCTGAGCTGATCAGGCTCTAGTATTTGTAGAGAGCACATCAGATTTTCATCGACATTTAAGATGGCACCAGCATTGTTGCACTCTCCCATATAATTGGGTGCCGAAAATATAGTTACAAGCTGCTTGCTGGCAAAGAACTCGTATCCATCCTCCACAACCTGCAGAAAATAAATGAAAAAGGGATGAATATATATAATAACGTAGACACTGACTAAAATGACACAGCTATATAACAGGTAAGACCTCGTGAGCTCGACAAATGAGATCTAGATCATGTTTCTGCAGAAATTCTGTCACTTGATCTGAACCAAACGTTTGCCCGGCTCCCCTGCCATTATTAAACCTCCAACCTTGAAAATCTTGACTGGGATCTGACCACAGAAGATCACAGACCAAACCTGAATATGGTACATCAGTCGGACGTTGTATTTCTCTAATTTGATCCAAATCATCCAACTCTTCAGATATGCCTCCATGCATGCAGAGGATTTTCTCATCAATTAAGGCTGCAACTGGTAGACAGTCAAAACAAACTATGAATGTGTCCCATAGTCGAGAATTGAATCTTCTGATACACTCTTTTCTAAAACCATAGTCTTTGCTTATAGAAGCAGTTTCGTGGTTTCCTCTCAAGAGGAAAAATTTTTTAGGATACTTAATTTTATATGCAAGGAGAAGACATATTGTTTCCAGGTTTTGCTTGCCACGGTCCTCATAATCGCCCAAAAATAAGTAGTTGGTATTTGGAGGGTAACCACCAAGATCAAAAAGTCTCAAGAGATCAGGATATTGACCATGGATGTCACCTGCATTTCAGAAAACAGAACTCTTGAAAATATGCAACCTTGCGTGTTCAAGAAAACTATGGACATGGTCCGCATGGGTGAATAATCGAAATCAAGCAATCAACCAAATGCAATATATAAATTACTGAAAAGATGAATATAATGGTAAAAAGTACCACAAATCTTGATGGGTGCTTCAAGCTCTAACAAACTGGGCTGTTTCAAGAAAATCTTTTGAGACACCATACACAGTTGCCGGATCTCGAACTCGCACAATGGGATATGCTTTCCGGATCCATCCCGAAGCTGCAATAATCTATTAATTATATCATCAATATGTCCTTGCTCCATCTTTTTTTCAGCTTATTCGATAATTTCCACAACAAAGAGAAAGTCGATGATTATTTATATCAGCTACAGAAGAGAGTTGCCCACATGAAGATGGTGGTGGGGGAGAGAGATTGAGAAGGAGAATGATGAAGCTGATGTCTTCATCAGAAGGTAGATGAGAACTTCAGACATTGTGCTGAGATTTAAAGAGTTGAATATTATTTTTATTTGTTCAAAGAGAGAAGTAGAGTTGACTAGATAAAGAAGGGAGAATGGTAAATTTTCCCGGAATATTTTTTCTTCCTCTCTGTCAATGTTCTAGTAGTTCTTCTTAGATTAGCAATAATATAATAAATTAATAAAATTTCTTTTTTCTTTTTTATGACCGGTTGAGGTCAGTTTACGCGCACCTTAACTAATATCTTAGGATTCTGGAATTACCAGTCGGATAAGAACTCCAATGACTACCCGTATTAACAATTGAGAAATGACTCAAATTCAAGATCTCTTAAGTAATACACCCAAGAGTCTCTATCGAACCATGTGACCACCTAAAGGTAGTTTAATAAATTACTAATTGTTTGTTGCTTCTTGATCTAAGTTGTTTCATATTTTGTGTTGCTAAAATGATTTTGGTTGGCAGAATATGATAGAACATGGGTAATTAAAAACAGAACAAATTTATATTAAATACTTTATTCCATTGACTGACTTCTTGGTAGTAATATATTAATAGTAAGTTGGAACCCAGCTTGACAAGTCGCCACAGATATACATTGCACAGTTTTGGTGAGGCATGATTTTATTTTATAATTTTTCTGATCTAATCGGAATGAAAGCTAATATGAATTCAATCTGGATTTAGTATGATCCGGTTTTGATCCGAATTTGCATGGAAAATATTTTTCCCCCTGAAATTTTGCAAAATTTTTTAGTACACCCTGCCACATCAACATTGCGCATTTTTTGACCTCCAAAGTTGTCATTATATTTTAGAACAGTCCACATACTTTATCACTTTTCCCTAGGACCCCGAAGTAACTTCTTAAAACTTGTAGTTATGGACAAAACTGGATCAAATCCGGATATCCGGTTTCTTTGCAGAGCCAATCTGCTATCTGGTCCAAAAATCCAAATCTTCCAAAAATTGATATCCAAATCCGATCTGAATTTCCGGATATCCGGTTTTTCGGATCGGATATCGGATTTTTTTGCACTCCTCTAACAGCTATGACAACTTGTCAAGATAGACCAATTCATAATAAAAAAAAATAGATGAAAAACTACTTGAAATTCTTTACCACAATTCATATGACAAGGGCCTTTCCTGTCCTTATAAATCTATGCAAGTCATGATTTGCTTAGTTTGAAGTAATCAGAACAAGTTTTCAACTTATCTCTGGCTGTTTTTCAAGGGCAGAATTGAAGCAGTACTGTTCTATATCACCAAAATTTGAAGATATGAACTCAAATAATAAATTCATTCAACATCAGAGTATACTCAACACATATCCAAATGTGAATAAATTGATGCAGAAGTAGCTCCAAGAAAATTTAATACCAAATCAGATCAAGGAAGTAGCTTGTGGCACGTTTTTGCTGTAGGCTCCCTGAGATATAAAGCTAGTACCTCCATCTTTTCCCAAAATTTATGATACTTTCATCTAATTCAGTCACTACATTCTTCTGCACCAGACTCTTGCGCTTCATCTCCCGCATCCGCAGTTGCATTATCCAGCCACATTACAAATATGTTACCTGCTTTGTATTTGTCGTTACTCTGCTTGTTATCTCCAGTGAATTGTCATCCAAGATGGAACAAACTGAACCAGTTTAGAGAATGAAATCTGGAAATATGTGCTCAAGAAGAACAGGTATCACAAATTTTGCTTTAGATCATATTCATTCTAGCATTCCATATGGCTGTCAATATAGTCTTACCTCAGAGATTACTCATCCAACATAGCAATATAAGGACAACTACCCATGTCAAAGTGAAGGAACCAACTAATCAAATAAACAATAGAAATTGAGGTTAGGAGCTTTATTTCGGCACTTCCCATTTCTCCTGTCCTGGTGAGATCCCCTGTAGCATGACAAAATGTACCAATCTATCAGGTTAATTTGTCACTTGCATGTCCTTGAATTTCTTCTTCTTGGGTTATAATTAGTGAACCTCCCATAATTTTTCAAAGAATATGTATTGAAGGTTAAGCAGGCAAAAAAGTAAAAATTTGTTCCCAAATTCTCAAAGAATTATAATAAATAAACTTGTTCACTTACCGGACAGTGCCATAAACCAAGTGTGAAGTAATTTGATGCATGAATCTTCTTCCCAGAACTCAGATAGAGGTCTCAACTTGATGGAACATCTTTTCTTGCAGCCCCAATTCTGAAGCTAATGCCTCCATCTTTTGAAACTTCCATTAAGCTAAAACCTAAACCCTCCAGTCTTTTGCATATATTCTTTTGTCGAATACAGCTAGGCCTAGGCTACAGTCTTTTGCATCACATTAAGTTCCTTTTCGATCTGCATCTCCTCCTGCACTTCCTCACTCTCTTCTGTTTTTCACTCTCGTCCTCAATTGCCACATCCTGTTTCCATCTGTGTCATCAATATTCTCCTTTCTATCATTCATTGCTCTGCTTTACCTTCAAACCCAAGATTAGATGACATATCTCCAATGAAGTGTCATCCTGATAGACAAATACTTATCAAGTTCAGAGAGGGAACACATTATTTACATAATTTTGCCATCTACACAAAAGTATAGAATTATCAATCGCAAATTTGTGAGAGATTGATTCTTTGTATTGTTGGACTAATTTTCAAATATCTTAATTCAAACCTTAAAAATCAATGTGGCAATTTATCAAACATTTGGCATGTCTGAAGCAACCCAATATTTCAGTTAAAAACACCATCAACAAACCAGAACAAGTCAATTATACTAGAATTGATCAAACACTCACAAGCACAAGAAAAAACATAAAAATTGATGCATTCCAGCCACAATTAAATTTATATAACAAATGCAATCATGTTTTACATTATTTGACATGATCACAATTCTTCTAAATGGGAGGATTGCAAACTTACCTCAGAGCGATGCATTCAATATGAGCAAAAGCGGCATTTCTACATTATAACATGATGCTTCAGATACAGTGGTCTATTACAAACATCACAATAACAGCCTTTGAATAATCATCTTCTACAATTGAATCTACAAGTGTGAGGGATCCGATGACATTTATGCTCCACAATTTGGGTATAGGTACGCATTGGAGATGTAGCCTGATCCCACAACTCACACAGCCATAATAAGACCCGATAAATAAAGTTACAGCAATCACAAAACCATGTTTCCGCATTCACTCCTTGAAATAAAACAGATTATGCTGTGGCACTTATGTTTCAATGAGCGTGGAGTTGCTCAACCGCAAGGAACATGAAAGAAACTTGACAAGTCCGCACATTAGGCTGAATCCCTGAATCAAATAACCACAAGCATCACAAGGGTTGTGCTTTTCTTGAAATTCCTCATAAAATCACAAAAGCGAAGTCGGGTTGGGGATGAAGTGGGTGTTGTTCAACACATTGAGGAATCTCCGAACAAGATTCTGAATCGTGAACTCACAATCACGACAATAATATGCCGAATCAGAATGCCATATTCGCAACAATGCAACTCGAACTGCATCCCGATACATTGCAGAGCTTCAGCTCATTGCTGTGGCAGAAATGTCTGATGGGTCTTTTATCTCTCCAGGACCTCATGGGAAAGAGAATCTCTTTAACAAAGCGCACTTTAAATCAAGATTGAAAGAGCAGAGGCTGCAACTGAAACCGAAGTTGCAGTACAAACTCTTACATCGAACACAGAGAGGAGGGTAGGGGTGGGAAAGTAAGGTCAAAGGGTGTTGAGAGTGAAGAGGATGCGAAATCTCGGTGGGCAATTCGGCGCATGGTTGTGAAGACCAAACCTGCAAGCTTCACAAACTAGGCCGGAGAACCGTCGCTGATGGCTTCAAAGCACCCACTGCAGCAACCATCGCAGTAGTGGTAAAAATTCTCCTCCTGTAAAGTCAACTCGTGGCCGTGCTCTGGTGATGAATTGTCTCCATATTCAAACTCAATGCAGGAGCAATGAAATGGCTCAGGAAACAATAAAATTTTTGATTGAAGTGGAAATGTGGATTTTTTATTTTATTTTTTATCATGAAATCCCTCTAACCAAGGCATATTATATCCCAAATGCATGGCCTGAACTCTGGGAGATTGCAATAATAATAATAAATTAATAAATAAATGATATACGGAATAGTATTCTATAATTCTAAGTTAATCAAAATTTTTCGAAATATTTATAAGTATTTTATTACTTTTGAAACTCTAAAGTTATGACATGATCAAAACTATCGTTATTATTTTATTAACATCGAAGAGAGAATTAAACTCTAACATCTGAATAATATATCCAAGAATTATTATCGAAACATCAATCATCATCCAATTAACCACAATAATTTTTCTCTCAAGAAAATGTTTTTGCTGAGAAGAAATATTTTATTTTTTTTGCAGGTATTTGTCTTCTGGAATGAGAGAACAATTAGTTCTGAAAAAGTGGAACATTATGATTTAAAATAAAACCGGTGATGAATAATTGAATTTTATGACCTGCAAGCTTTTGGAAATGTAAATAACAGTTAAATTTGCATATCTCAGATACAGATACTGTCACATTTCTCTCGAAAGCACTCACCACCATTTTTCTTGATGCAAATCCTTTCTTTTCTCCAATCAGTATATCTCCTTGTACGTTCCATTCGAGCTGCTCTAATCTTGTTGACAAGTCATCTACCTTTACAGCTAATTCCCCAACCTCATCCTTAAGTTCTTCGATTTCTTGGCTGTTCCCATCATCCAGAGATTGATAATTAACCAAGGGTAACCCTCCCTGTTCTTCCTGATCATCAAATCAATAAACTATTTGTTATAACTGAAACTTTACTATTTATACACCCACACAAACAATCACACCAAGAACCAAGAAACCACCACAAAATCAAACACCAGACAAGCACGATTTACCGTGATTTACTTATCCTTTTATGGATAAGCTACATCCCGTTGAGCTCAAGACGGTATGAGCTCGTTGCACTTCGATTATCAGAAACAGTCAAGATTACACAATTCAACACTCATCAGATCTACCCATTACAACAGCAACCAGCCTTACAAGATACTCTCTTGAATATCCCTAACCGCCGAGACACACTCTCACCTGAATGATTAAACCCCCTTATCACTCAACTAATTTTAACTCACAATCTGGAAGAAATAATCTCAACCCTAACACAGAGAAGTGCAAACCCAGAGAACCCTAACGTCTGTTTCTCTCTTCCCAAATCTGAACGAAAGTGCGCTTATATATGGTTTGACTTCGTGGTTGATCCTGGCCGTTAGATCTGGAGTGCATCCTGTGATCTGAATTTGTCTCAGTTAATATGCCTAAAATGACGTCGTATTATTGTTACTTAAACGATGTTGTTTCAGCTTCCATATTTAACACTACTCAAATTCTTGGAATCACATTAAACATGGGAAACAAGCATTACTGTCATGTTTCAGAAGGAAGTTTAGCATTTACCCGGAATTTTGTAGGCATGTTTGTGGCTGTGCTTCCAGAACCAGAAGGCTCCAGTATTTGAAAAGTGCATACTAAATCATGACCAACATTCAACACCGCACCAGAATTATTCCCCCCACGATACCCAGCTGCAGAAAATATTGTTATAAGCTGTCGCCTGGCAAAGAACTGATATCCGTCATCCACAACCTGTGTCAAATCATCATCAATTAATCAATATTTTAGGTGAATTTTGAAAGAATTATCTCTGCATTACACAAAATATTAACAGTTTAATACACTGTGAGCGCGACAGATGAGATCCAGATCATGCTTCTGCAGAAACTCTGTAACTTTGTCAGCACCGAAAATAACCGAAATATTTCTGTTTGTATTTTGTCCCCAACCTTGAATATCTTCACTGGGATCTGACCACAGAAGATCACAGAGTAAACCCGATCTGGGTTCATCAACGGGGCGTTGTATTTTTCTGATTTGATCCAAATTTTTTAGCTCTGGAGAAATGCCACCGTGCACGCAGAAAATCTTTTCACCGACTATGGCTGCTACTGGTAGACAGTTAAAACATTCTATGAATGTGTACCATAGCTTAACATTGAATCTTCTCTTGCACTCTTCGTAAAAGCCATAGTTGATATTTGTAGATGCACATTCGTGGTTTCCTCTCAGGAGGAAAATTTTGTCAGGATATTTTATCTTGTAGGCAAGAAGAAGACACATTGTCTCGATTCCTTGCTCGCCACGGTCCACATAATCGCCCAGAAATAAGTAGTTAGCTGTTGGAGGATAACCACCGTTCTCAAAAAGCCTTAAGAGATCAGAAAATTGACCATGGATGTCGCCTGAATTTCATAAAGAAATTATCATCATCAGGAATCAGGACAAATATCGACATGAGCAACCAATTCGACTCAATGAATTAAGCAATACAATCAAACGCACACATAAATTACTCTAAAGATCAAATGGAAAAATAGAAAGTACCACAAATCTTGATGGGTGTTTTAAGCTCTAACAAATTAGGCTGTTCCAGGAAAATCCCACTAGAAACCAAACACAGTTGCCAAATCTCAAACTCCAATAATGGAATGTACTTTCCGGGTCTGTCCCGAAAGTTTAATAGCCGATTGATTATATCATCAACAAGTCCTTGCTCCATTCTCTTCAGCTTTTACAACAATCGAGACTAATCAAAGAGAACGTCGATTTTGTATCAGGTGAGATAGCCGAGATGAGGAACAAGTCTGAGTTCAGTTTTTGGTTGTTGAAGATTCTTTGATGAAAGAGAGAAGAAGATTTGACCTTATTCATACCAAGAAACCATCCCCTAGTATAGAAATGGATTATTAAAATATGGCTGCGGGAATATGATTGAACTTAAACATTAAAAAAAGTACAGGTTGAGACTCACGCTAATAGAACTTCCTTGGTCTTTTTATATTAATAATTAGTTCTTGCTAACAGTTTTGTCGTGCGATTATTGTATTATTAAAAAATTATGATTATTAAAGAGATAGATTATCTTGAAGATTAAAAGAAATATTTTATAATATATGTTTGGGTAAATTGATGTATATAAATAATTAATATATTTGAGTGAGGAGGAATCAAAGAATTCTAGAAGACCTTTTTACTAAATTGCCTTTTTTTAAAAATATTATCATAATATTATTTTATTATTTAGATTATTATTTTACCCCCTAACATTTAAGAATTTAGCTAAAACACCCCAACCATAATAGAATTTTAAAATTTAACAAAACATCTCCAATCACCCAAGCGACTTCAGTCATCGACTGCCGTCGAAAGTGGCCTGAATGGCACACGAATGGTCAGATCTGGCCGAACGTGCGTCATTCTGGCAACTACCGACGACGGTTGACAATCGTCTTAGATGGGTGAGGTTATTTTTTAAAATTTTAAACTTTTATTGTGGCTGAGGTGTTTTAGAAAATTCTCAAGTGTAAGAGGTTACAAAATTTATTTTGCACAATTAGACTAATTGTTATTTGACAGACATACAAGGACATTTGTGTCTGATATGTTAATTAACTAAGGGTAAAATGAGAATAAAAATTTGATTACCTTGGTAATCTTAAAATAACAGCCTTTCACTCGGTAATCAAATTACCCCCAATATAGCGTGCAGTAAACATTGTTGGCATTGAAAGATTACCTTAATCTTTGATTTCCTAAAACCAAACATGATAATATCCCATTTTTGAGATAGATTACCAGCGTAATCTTCCATTACCGCTAACCAAACGACCCCTTAGAGTAAACAATTTTTTCCCGTCCAAGGTTTGTATTAATAACACTTTTCCCACCCAAAAAGTTTCAAAATACCACTTTTTCGCCCAAAGTTTATATTCCGTTAATACTCAAAATTCACTTTACTTTCTCATTCAGTGTTTGATGAGTTACCAAGAGCCAAGGTAAGAGGAGTTTTGTAGAGTGGAGGACGATGGATTTAATGGTGGTGACTTATTGAATATTCACCACCGAAATCAACTGGAAATCAGCTAAGAATAAGAAACTCTAATTTTGCGATGGCCGGTAATCAAAGAGAGATCAGGTGTCAGAGTTAGAGGGATTTTTAGAAAGGAGACTGGAGGTTCAAATGGTGGTGATGGGGAGAATTTTCACCGTTGGAATTGGCCAGAATCGGCTTTGGTTAATAACAGAATATTAACTTTGGGTGGAAAAGTGGCATTTTGAAACTTTTTGGGTGGGAAAGTTTCATTAAGGCCAACCTTGGGTGGGAAAATGTCTTTTACTCTTAGTTATTAATTTCTTAGTCACTAATTCATTTATATGCCAGCAAGGGCATGACAACACTACTGCCAATATTCTTTTGATTTATTTATTTATTATGTGAGGACACCCTAATTCCCTCCTACTTTGGCAAGTTGGCATTGATATATACAGGGATGAAATTTGTAAGTCTGCTCAGCATTACTTAAAGATTTTAATATGGGCACTTTCTGTAACAATTAATCCTCTGGAATGAGTGGACAATTATTTAAATTAAAGTCATGGCGATTTGATTAATTGAATATCAGGAGCTACAAATTTAGAAAAACAAAAACAAAGTAAATTCTACATTTCTCAGACACAGGTATTGGCTAACTCTCTTGAAAGAGAGATCGAATGTTGAGTAATTTCTTTCTCTCTCAATCATATTGACTATGCATCTTTTGGATTGAACACCCTAAAATCAAAAAGTTACCAAAGAGATGTGGGCAATACTACACTTATAATTCAATCTCATAAACTTTCTCTTACAACCCCAACGTGACAACTCACAATTGATCAGCTCTCAAATAGGTTCCTCTTGCTTGCAATAGATCTCACTTGTCCAATGCAAGTTGACCAGTTGCGAACTGTCACATTGAGGTTGTGGGAGAATTTTGTAACATTGAGTTGTGAACTAATCTTTATTGAAGAGATGCTAATCTTTAGTCTACATACTAAAAATTTCAAAACGTCCAAATTATGAAGTTATTAAGTCTTTTTCTAGCTCTAATAATATTTTTCAAATAATATATATTTTTAAACTAGTAATTACCAAGAAGGGTATTTATAATTTTATTACACCTCATGTATTAAATAACTTTTTTTCTCAATATCTTAACCCTTCATTTTTTTTTTTTTCTTCTAAAAACTGTAATTTGAATCCTTTGTTTGGAAATTATGTTGTCATGATTAAATGTGGGCAAGGCCTGGGCGAACCCAGGTCTAGGCCCAATAGGATTGGTCCCAAATTCAAGGATCGGTCCCAATTTGGCTAGGATCGCCCCAGGCCCATGAAAATTGTCAAGGGCCAAACCGGTCCCTAAGACTAGTGATGGGCCCATGGGCCGATCCTATGGGCCTGAAAAATTACATTTAGCACCCTAATTGAAAATTATGTAGGGTTATTTATGTAATTTTTCAAGGGTGGTTTGTAAATTTTTTAATTAATTAGCAAATAAATATAAATGAATGGTTAACTGGTTATAAATTTATATGGTTTTAATTTTAACATAAATATAATGTTTACACTTTACAATGTGCAAATTTAATTTAAACTTAAACAAATAAACAATTAAATAAATTTATTTTCATTAAATTATTAATTTACATCGTCCAAATCTGTGTTTTTTAAGAGTTCGAGTAGTTCAAAATTTTCAGGATGCTATTGTACTCTTTTGTCTGTATGAGTCCAATCTCGTAAATATGTTATGACTTCAACTATCTCATTGGCTAAAGAGTATCTTCTATCTTCAATAATGCGGCCACTAATGAGAATGTTGACTCAGATGCAATTGTCGAAACTGACATAGATAAAATGTCACGTGTCATTTAGGCTACAATGGGAAATTGACTTAAATTTTGGTTCCACAATTGAAGTAGATTCATCTTGCACTTCTCCTTCTTGGTCATGTAAGACATGTCCATTTATAGATACCGCTACAACTTATTTGGTCCATGTTTGTACAAGCTAGAACTGCTACTTCGACCACCATCGCTACTAAGTTTCATATACGTCCACATACTCAATCCTTGTTGATAAATGTCTTCATCAAGTTCCTGCTAGTTGTCTCTGTTGGGCTTTCCACTGTACCTAGTCTGATATAAAGAAAAAAGGCTTTCCAATTTTCTATTAAATTTTATCAAATAAGAATTACAGTCATATCCTAAATATTGGCCTATCTCAATAACTATACAATTAAATACGTTTAATCTAAACCTATGATCTACAACAAAACCTAATCCATATAAGAATGAAATATCTAACCAATATTTTCGATATTTTATTTCCATGTCTGAAACAATATCCATTAATTCTGGATTAAATCTATGTTTAGCAAAAATTTTAGAAATTTGAAGTAAAATATCTAACGCTAATTTAATAGTAGGATAATACATACCACTTAATAAATTAGTGGAATCGTAAAAAACTTTAAGAAATTAATGAAAAATACTACAAACCATCCAATCATCATCATTGACGACATCGTCTGAATAGTTCTTCTAGTTGACGAACTCTATAATTTGTGTTGCGATTGGCATAGCTCTTTGCAACATTAAGTATGTGGAGTTCCAACAGACAAGCGTGTCACAACATAAATTCTTTGGTCGAGCTGGCGGCTCCTCTTGACGACAATATTTTACGTACTCATTTCATCTTGTATTGCTACCGACGATGAACCCGATAGTCGCACACACCCTTTCAATCTTCGCATGTATAGCTTCTAAACTTATTTTAATAATCAAATTGATGATCTGGCAAGCACATATCTAGTGAAAAAATCCGCCTTCACCAAGCGGATCCAATCTCTTTTCAAATAAAGAAATTGTCGCTATATTAGCAACTGCATTATTAGGCGTTAGTGCCACAACTCTCTCAATTAATAAATAATCTTACAAAACTTCAATAATTGTATAATAAATAGTCTCAGCATTATGTTTAGCATATAATGGTTTAAAATCCATCAACTTTTGTTGTAAACACCAACTATGATCTAGATAATGTATTGTGACACTCAAAAAATCTATTTTTAATCTAACAACTCATATGTCTGAAGTAAGTGCAATAGATATATTCCTAAAATTTTCAAATTCTTTTATAAGTAGATCTCTTATTTTAGTATAAAGTTTTTGTATGTCCCTTTTACTTGTACCTCTACTAACAAGACTATATTGTGGACAAGAAGCAGTTTTAATCATATCAACAAAGAAAAGATTTTTAGAAAAAGAAAGGGGAGAGTTCATAGCAACTATGTATTTTACTATTTCCTCTCGTGCATGAAGTGCATTATATTGCCAAGTTGAGAGAGTTAAGGATTGTAGATTAAAATTAAGTTGAGTTTAAATTTGATTATCGGGTCTGGTTAAAGTTGAATCGGACTGCATATATTGGGGGTGCTTCTTCTCCAGGTGTTGTCTCATCATCGAAGTCCTGTGCTCAACGCCGATAATGGTTGGACAAAAATTACGTACCCCACACATCTCTTCCCCCTGCCCATTTGGCTTTGCTCGTTTTGATTTTGTGAAGAATTGCCACATCCCAGACACGGCCTTCTTCAACGGTCTTCCCGTGGTGTTGCAGCTCACTTGTGTTTAGTTGGACGTAATCTCAGCCGTTTCTAGTTGTGGAATTGCTGCCTTTGGAATAGGTAAAAATGGATCGAGCCCTTCCATTTTTTCAATGGATGGAGGAACTTTAACATAATACCCATTTGGGAATGATGATCCTCCAAACGCATAATTTGGGAATTCATTATAAATTTATAATAAAATAATAAATAACTAAAATTGAAGAAATTGAAGAAATTGAATAATATAAATAATAATATGAATAATAGATGAAATTGAAAAATAGAAGAAATTAAATAATATAAATAATAGATAAATAAATATAAATATAAATTGAAGAGAGTTTGAGAATTTGAGTTGAGAGTTGTGAGGAAATGGGTGGACACAAGGAGTATTTATAGTTTAGGTTTGAAGGGAAAGTGAAAGAAAACAAACCTTCACTTTCATTTTGACTGTTGATGCTGGCCACTAAGGCAACGGTCTAATTTCTTTTTTTGTTTTTTGTAAAATTTTATTTTAACCTTTTTATTTATTGTTAATTTCATATAACATAGGAGGTTATTGATATTTGTTAGGAGTTTAAATAAAATTGGGGAGGGGGTTTGGGCCCGGAGGGACTGGGTTTTGGCCCGAGCCTTATAGAACCAGTCCTGACCAATAACATTACGGACACCGAAATTTTTACACCGATTTTTTGTACCAGCCGACGTGGAACGCGTTCTCCCATTTCTTTATAATTTTTTTCTAGTGAACAGCCGTCCATCAAATTTGGACGGCCGTTCACTCACATGGACGTCCGTCCATCAAATATGGACAGGCGTCCATATGCGAGGGACAGCCGTCCATATAATATGGACGCCCGTCCCTATTAAAATAAAATAAAAAAATTTGTAAAAGTTTAGGGACGGCCGTCCATATTTGATGGACGGGCGTCCATCCATTTTGGACGCCCGTCCACAAATATGGACGGGCGTCCATATGCGAGGGACAGCCGTCCATATAATATGGACGCCCGTCCCTATTAAAATAAAATAAAAAAATTTGTAAAAGTTTAGGGACGGCCGTCCATCCATTATGGACGGCCGTCCATCCATTTTGGACGCCCGTCCACAAATATGGACGCCCGTCCCTATTAAAATAAAATAAAAAAATTTGTAAAAGCTTAGGGACGGCCGTCCATCCATTATGGACGGCCGTCCATTAATTTTGGATGGGCGTCCACAAATAATGGACGCCCGTCCTTCACCCAAATATGAAAATAAAATAAATTTCCATTATGGACGGCCGTCCATAAATTTTGGATGGTCGTCCTTTTATTGTGGACGGGCGTCCATAAGTAATGGACGCCCGTCCAAAAGTAATTCGTAAAAAAAAATTAATTTAATTAATTTTAACACTGGACGGTCGTCCCTAACTTGTGGATGGCCGTCCATTAATTGTGGACGAGCGTCCATTACTTATGGACGCCCGTCCATAATGTTATTAAAAATTTTTAAAAAAAAAAATTTTCGCGTTTCAGTAATAAATTGTTTTTTTTGTTTATATTAGCTTCTCCAATACGCTTCTCCAATTACAAGAGCTAAAGCGAAAGAAAACCAGCGCCAAAATTCGTCGTCCCTGCTTCATCGTTGCCGTCTGTTCCTCGTCTCAGCGTCTGCATTCCTCAGCCATTTCTTCCCGCAGCAAAGGTTTTCTCCTTATTTTCCAGGTACCGTGTGAATAACAAAAGCTATCATGTGTTTATTTCATCAAACTTCATTGCATCAAACTTCATTTAGCTAATTTTTTACAGTCGAAAGAGAGATACAGGAAAGGGAGATTACAGAGATTTGTTCAAAGGGAGATTAGAGAGATTTGTTCAGGTTAATAACGATTTTTATATAATTTATACATTTATTTAGTTTTTTACCGTGAACATTTTGATATAACTTATGCATTTATTTAGTTTTGTATTATATTTTGATGTTGAGTAATTTCTTTCTCTCTCAATCATATTGACTATGCATCTTTGGATTGAACACCCTAAAATCAAAAAGTTACCAAAGAGATGTGGGCAATACTACACTTATAATTCAATCTCATAAACTTTCTCTTACACCCAACGTGAAAAACACAATTGATCAGCTCACAAATAGGTTCACCTGCTTGCAATAGATTCACCTGTCCAACGCAAGTTGACCGTTGCGAACTGTCACAGTGAGGTTGTGGGAGAAGTTTGTAACATTGAGTTGTGAACTAATCTTTATTGAAGAGATGCTAATCTTTAGTCTACATACTAAAAATTTCAAAACGTCCAAATTATGAAGTATTAAGTCTTTTCTAGCTCTAATAATATTTTTCAAATAATATATATTTTTAAACTAGTAATTACCAAGAAGGGGATTATAATTTTATTACACTCATGTATTAAATAACTTTTTTTCTCAATATCTTAACCCTTCATTTTTTTTTTTTCTTCTAAAAACTGTAATTTGAATCCTTTGTTTGGAAATTATGTTGTCATGATAAATGTGGGCAAGGCCTGGGCGAACCCAGGTCTAGGCCCAATAGGATTGGTCCCAAATTCAAGGATCGGTCCAATGGCTAGGGATCGCCCCGGCCCATGAAAATTGTCAAGGGGCAAACCGGTCCTAAGACTAGTGATGGGCCCATGGGCCGATCCTATGGGCCTGAAAAATTACATTTAGACCCTAATTGAAAATTATGTAGGGTTATTTATGTAATTTTTCAAGGGTGGTTTGTAAATTTTTTAATTAATTAGCAAATAAATATAAATGAATGGTTAACTGGTTATAAATTTATATGGTTTTAATTTTAACATAAAATAATGTTTACACTTACAATGTGCAAATTTAATTTAAACTTAAACAAATAAACAATTAAATAAATTTATTTTCATTAAATTATTAATTTACATCGTCCAAATCTGTTTTTTAAGAGTCGTAGTTCAAATTTTCAGGATGCTATTGTAATCTTTTGTCTGTATGACCAATCTCGTAAATATGTTATGACTTCAACTATCTCATTGGCTAAAGAGTATCTTCTATCTTCAATAATGCGGCCACTAATGAGAATGTTGACTCAGATGCAATTGTCGAAACTGACATAGATAAAATGTCAAGTTCATTTAGGCTACAATGGAAATTGACTTAAATTTTGGTTCCACAATTGAAGTAGATTCATCTTGCACTTCTCCTTCTTGGTCATGTAAGACATGTCCATTTATAGATACCGCTACAACTTATTTGGTCCATGTTTGTCAACTAGAACGCTACTTCGAACACCATCGCTAAAGTTCATATACGTCACATACTCAATCCTTGTTGATAAATGTCTTCATCAAGTTCTGCTAGTTTCTCTGTTGGGCTTTCACTGTACCTAGTCTGATATAAGAAAAAAGGCTTTCCAATTTTCTATTAAATTTTATCAAATAAGAATTACAGTCAATCCTAAATATTGGCCTATCTCAATAACATACAATTAAATACGTTTAATCTAAACCTATGATCTACAACAAAAACCTAATCCATATAAGAATGAAATATCTAACCAATATTTCGATATTTTATTTCCAGTCTGAAACAATATCCATTAATTCTGGATTAAATATGTTAGCAAAAATTTTAGAAATTTGAAGTAAAATATCTAACGCTAATTTAATAGTAGGATAATACATACCACTTAATAAATTAGTGGAATCGTAAAAAACTTTAAGAAATTAATGAAAAATACTACAAACCATCCAATCATCATCATTGACGACATCGTCTGAATAGTTTCTTAGGTGACGAACTCTATAATTTGTGTTGCGATTGGCATAGCTCTTTGCAACATTAAGTATGTGGAGTTCCAACAGACAAGCGTGTCACAACATAAATTCTTTGGTCGAGCGGCGGCTCCTCTTGACGACAATATTTACGTACTCATTTCATCTTGTATTGCTACCGACGATGAACCCGATAGTCGCACACACCCTTTCAATCTTCGCATGTATAGCTTCTAAACTTATTTTAATAATCAAATTGATGATCTGGCAAGCACATATCTAGTGAAAAAATCGCCTTCACCAAGCGGATCAATCTCTTTTCAAATAAAGAAATTGTCGCATATTAGCAATGCATTATAGGCGTTAGTGCCACAACTCTCTCAATTAATAAATAACTTACAAAACTCAAAATTGTATAATAAATAGTCTCAGCATTATGTTAGCATATAATGGTTTAAAATCCATCAACTTTTGTTGAAACACCAACTATGATCTAATAATGTATTGTGACACTCAAAAAATCTAGTTTTTGTCAGGATATTTTATCTTGTAGGCAAGAAGAAGACACATTGTCTCGATTCCTTGCTCGCCACGGTCCACATAATCGCCCAGAAATAAGTAGTTAGCTGTTGGAGGATAACCACCGTTCTCAAAAAGCCTTAAGAGATCAGAAAATTGACCATGGATGTCGCCTGAATTTCATAAAGAAGTTATCATCATCAGGAATCAGGACAAATATCGACATGAGCAACCAATTCGACTCAATGAATTAAGCAATACAATCAAACGCACACATAAATTACTCTAAAGATCAAATGGAAAATAGAAAGTACCACAAATCTTGATGGGTGTTTTAAGCTCTAACAAAGTAGGCTGTTCCAGGAAAATCCCACTAGAAACCAAACACAGTTGCCAAATCTCAAACTCCAATAATGGAATGTACTTTCCGGGTCTGTCCCGAAAGTTTAATAGCCGATTGATTATATCATCAACAAGTCCTTGCTCCATTCTCTTCAGCTTTTACAACAATCGAGACCAATCAAAGAGAACGTCGATTTTGTATCAGGTGAGATAGCCGAGATGAGGAACAAGTCTGAGTTCAGTTTTTGGTTGTTGAAGATTCTTTGATGAAAGAGAGAAGAAGATTTAACCTTATTCATACCAAGAAACCATCCCCCAGTATAGAAATGGATTATTAAAGTATGGCTGCGGGAATATGATTGAACTTAAACATTAAAAAGAGAACAGGTTGAGACTCACATTAATAGAACCTCCTTGGTCTTTTTATATTAATGAGTAGCACATACCACCAACTCTAATTAATTAATTAGTTCTTAGTAACAGTTTTGTCTAGAGAATATTGTATTACTGAAAAAATATGATTACTGATGAGATAGATTATCTTGAAGATTAAAGGAAATGTTTTATAATATATGTTTGATTAGATTGATATGTATAAATAATTAATATGTTTGAGTGAGGAGGAATCAAAGAATTCTAGAAGACCTTTTTACTAAATTGCCCTTTTTTAAAATATTATCATAATATTATTTTATTATTTAGATTATTATTTTACCCCCTAACATTTGAGAATTAGGCTAAAACACCCCAACCATAATAGAATTTTAAAATTTAACAAAATATCTCTAATCACCCAAGCGACTTCGGTCATCGACCGCCGTCGAAAATGGCCTGAACGGCACACGACTGGTCAGATCTGGCCGGACGTGCGTCATTCTGGCAACTACCAACGACGGTCGACAATCGTCTTAGATGGGTGGGGGTATTTTTTAAAATTTTAAACTTTTATTGTGACTAGGGTGTTTTAGAAAATTCTCAAATGTAAGGGGTTACAAAATTTATTTTGCACAATTAGACTAATTGTTATTTGACAGACATAAGGACATTTGTGTTTGAAATGTTAATTAACTAAGGGTAAAATGAGAATAAAAATTTGATTACCTTGGTAATCTTAAAATAACAGCCTTTCACTCGGTAATCAAATTACCCCCAATATAGCGTGCAGTAAACATTGTTGGCATTGAAAGATTACCTTAATCTTTGATTTCCTAAAACCAAACATGATAATATCCCATTTTTGAGATAGATTACCAGCGTAATCTTCCATTACCGCTAACCAAACGACCCCTTAGAGTAAACAATTTTTTCCTGTCCAAGGTTTGTATTAATAACACTTTTCCCACCCAAAAAGTTTCAAAATACCACTTTTTCGCCCAAAGTTTATATTCCGTTAATACTCAAAATTCACTTTACTTTCTCATTCAGTGTTTGATGAGTTACCAAGAGCCAAGGTAAGAGGAGTTTTGTAGAGTGGAGGACGATGGATTTAATGGTGGTGACTTATTGAATATTCACCACCGAAATCAACTGGAAATCAGCTAAGAATAAGAAACTCTAATTTTGCGATGGCCGGTAATCAAAGAGAGATCAGGTGTCAGAGTTAGAGGGATTTTTAGAAAGGAGACTGGAGGTTCAAATGGTGGTGATGGGGAGAATTTTCACCGTTGGAATTGGCCAGAATCGGCTTTGGTTAATAACAGAATATTAACTTTGGGTGGAAAAGTGGCATTTTGAAACTTTTTGGGTGGGAAAGTTTCATTTAGGCCAACCTTGGGTGGGAAAATGTCTTTTACTCTTAGTTATTAATTTCTTAGTCACTGATTCATTTATATGCCAGCAAGGGCATGACAACACTACTGCCAATATTCTTTTGATTTATTTATTTATTATGTGAGGACACGCTAATTCCCTCCTACTTTGACAAGTTGACATTGATATATACAGGGATGAAATTTTTAAGTCTGCTCAGCATTACTTAAAGATTTTAACATGGGCACTTTCTGTAACAATTAATCCTCTGGAATGAGTGGACAATTATTTAAATTAAAGTCATGGCGATTTGATTAATTGAATATCAGGAGCTACAAATTTAGAAAAACAAAAACAAAGTAAATTCTACATTTCTCAGACACAGGTATTGGCTAACTCTCTTGAAAGAGTGATCGATTGTTGAGTAATTTCTTTCTCTCTCAATCATATTGACTATGCATCTTTTGGATTCAACACCCTAAAATCAAAAAGTTACCAAAGAGATGTGGGCAATACTACACTTATAATTCAATCTTATAAACTTTCTCTTACAACCCCAACGTGACATCTCTCAATTGATCAGCTCTCAAATAGGTTCCGCTTGCTTGCAATAGATCTCACTTGTCCAATGCAAGTTGACCAGTTGCGAACTGTCACATTGAGGTTGTGGGAGAATTTTGTAATATTGAGTTGTGAACTAATCTTTATTGAAGAGATGCTAATCTTTAGTCTACATACTAAAAATTTCAAAACGTCCAAATTATGAAGTTATTAAGTCTTTTTCTAGCTCTAATAATATTTTTCAAATAATATATATTTTTAAACTAGTAATTACCAAGAAGGGTATTTATAATTTTATTACACCTCATGTATTAAATAACTTTTTTTCTTAATATCTTAACCCTTCATTTTTTTTTTTTTCTTCTAAAAACTGTAATTTGAATCCTTTGTTTGGAAATTATATTGTCATGATTAAATGTGGGCAAGGCCTGGAGGCAGTCGAGCCCAGGTCTAGGCCCAATAGGATTGGTCCCAAATTCAAGGATCGGTCCCAATTAGGCTGGGATCGCCCCAGGCCCATGAAAATTGTCAAGGCCCAAACCGGTCCCTAAGACTAGTCATGGGCCCATAGGGCCGATCCTATGGGCCTAAAAAATTATATTTAGCGCCCTAATTGAAAATTATGTGGGGTTATTTACTTATTTATGTAATTTTTCAAGGGTGGTTTGTAAATTTTTTAATTAATTAGCAACTAAATATAAATGAATGGTTAACTGGTTATAAATTTATATGGTTTTAATTTTAACATAAATATAATATTCACACTTTACAATATACAAATTTAATTTAAACTTAAACAAATAAACAACTAAATAAATTTATTTTCATTAAATTATTAATTTACATCGTCCAAATCTATGTTTTTGAAGAGTTCGAAATCTTCAGGATGCTATTGTACTCTTCTGTCTGCATGAATCCAATCTCATAAATATGTTATGACTTCAACCATCTCATTAGCTAAAGAGCATCTTCTATCTTCAATAATGCGGCCACTAATTAGAATGTTCACTAGGATGCAATTGTCGAAACTGACATAGATAAAATGACACGTGCCATTTAGGCTACAATGGGAAATCGACTTGAATTTTGGTTCCACAATTGAAGTAGATCCATCTCGCACTTCTCCTTCTTGGTCATGTAGGACATGTCCATTTGTAGGTACCGCTGCAACTCATTTGGTCCATGTCTGTACAAGCTAGAGCTACTACTTCGACCACCACCGCTACTAAGTTTCATATACGTCCACATGCTCAATCCTTGTTGATAAATGTCTTCATCAAGTTCCTATTAGTCGTCCCTGTTGGGCTTTCCACTGTACCTAGTCTAATATAAAGAAAAAAGGCTTTCCAATTTTCTATTAAATTTTATCAAATAAGAATTATAGTTATGTCCTAAATGCTGGTCTATCTCAATAACCATACAATTAAATACGTTTAATTTAAACCTAAGATCTACAACAAGACCTAATCCATATAAGAATAAAATATCTAACCAATATTTTCGATATTTTGTTTCCATGTCTGAAACAATATCCATTAAGTCTGGATTAAATCTATGTTTAACAAAAGTTTTAGAAATTTGAAGTAAAATATCTAACGCTAATTTAGTAGTAGGATAATACATACCACTTAATATATTAGTGGAATCATAAAAAACTTTAAGAAATTAATGAAAAATACTACAAACCATCCAATCACCATCATTGACAACATCGTCCGAATAGTTCTTCTAGTTGACGAACTCTATAATTTGTGTTGTGATTGGCATAGCTCTTTGCAACATTAAGTATGTGGAGTTCCAACAGACAAGCGTGTCACAACATAAATTCTTTGGTCGAACCGGCGGCTCCTCTTGACGACAATATTTTACTTACTCATTTCATCTTGTATTGCTACCAACGATGAACCCGATAGTTGTGTGCACCCTTTCAATCTTCGCATGTATAACTTCTAAACCTATTTTAACAATCAAATTGATGATGTGGCAAGCACATATCTAGTGAAAAAATTCGTCTTCATCAAGCGGATCCAATCTCTTTTCAAATAAAGAAATTATCATGATGTTAGCAACTGCATTATTAGGCGTTAACGCCACAACTCTCTCAATTAATAAATCATCTTACAAAACTTCAATAATTGTATAATAAATAGTCTCAACACTATGTTTAGCATATAATGGTTTAAAATCCATCAATTTTTGTTGTAAACACCCACTATGATCTAGGTAATGCATTGTGATACTCAAAAAATCTATTTTTGATCTAACAACCATATGTCTGAAGTAAGTGCAATAGATATATTCCTAAAATTTTCAAATTCTTTTATAAGTAAATCTCTTATTTTAGTATAAAGTTTTAGTATGTCTCTTTTATTTGTACCTCTACTAACAAGACTATATTGTGGACAAAAAGCTGTTTTAATCATATCAACAAAGAAAAGATTTTTAGATAAAGAAATGGGAGAGTTCATAGCAACTATGTATTTTACTATTTTCTCTCGTGCATGGAGTGCATTATATTGCCAGGTTGAGAGAGTTAAAGATTGTAGATTAAAATTAAGTTGAGATTGAATTTGCTTATCGGGTCTGGTTAAAGTTGAATCGAACTGCTTATATTGGGGGTGCTTCTTCTCCAAGTGTCACCGCATCGTCGAAGTCTTGTGCTCAAAGTCGATAATGGTTGGACAAAAATTACATACCCCACATATCTCTTCCCCCTAGCCATATGGCTTTGCCCGTTTTGATTTTATGAAGAATTGCCACACCCCAGACACGGCCCTCTTTGAGGATCTTCCCATGGTGTCGCAGCTCGCTTATGTTTAACTGAACGTAATCTCGGTCGTTTCTAGTTGTGGAATTGATGCTTTTGGAAAAGGTAAAAATGGATAGAACCCTTCCATTTCTTCAATGGATGGAGAAACTATAACATAATACCCATTTGGGAATGACGATCCTCCGAACGTAGAATTTGGGAATTCATTATAAATTTATAATAAAATAATAAATAACTAAAATTGAAGAAATTAAATAATATAAATAATAATATGAATAATAGATGAAATTGAAAAATAGAAGAAATTGAAAAATATAAATAATAGATAAATAAATATAAATATAAATTGAAGAGAGTTTGAGAATTAGAGTTGAGAGTTGTGAGGAAATGGGTGGACACAAGGAGTATTTATAGTTTAGGTCCGGAGGGAAAGTGAAAGAAAACAAACCTTCACTTCCATTTTGACCGTTGACGCTGACCACTAAGGCAACGGTTTAATTTCTTTTTTTGTTTTTTGTAAAATTTCATTTTAATCCTTTTATTTATTGTTAATTTCATATAACATAGGAGGTTATTGATATTTGTTAGGAGTTTAAATAAAATTGGGGAGGGGGTTTGGGCCCGGAGGGACCGAGTTTTGGCCCGGAGGGATCGGGTTTTGGCCCGAGCCTTATAGGACCAGTCCTGACTCCGTTTTTTGGGCCAAAGCCAAATTTCCCACCTCTAATCATGATTAATACATTTTTGAAGATGGATTCAAAAAAGGGAAATAAAATAATAATGAACATTCTAATTATTTGTTCTTGTTTAGGAAATTATGATTAACCCTATTTAAACTATGTTTAATTTTTATATATATAAGAGAACAATGAAAATAAAAAAAAAAATTTAGTCTTTAGCCTTTGATCCGTATATTAAAAACTTGAAGCCGTTCGCATTAGAGATTACATATATTAGTTGGCCTCGTGGATCTCTTGATGCCATCTCTTTATGGAAAATGAACGGCTACCAATAAAAAAAAGTACTCATTGGAAAGATTTCTTATAAAAATTTCTTGAAAACTTGCAATATTTTTCCTTTTTCTGTCCAATGAAGGGTAGCTTAATAATTGTCAAGTGAAATTACAAAGAAATCTTTTAAGAGAGATCTTATAATAATAATAAAACCCCAAAAACTAGCAATATGATTAATTTAATAAGTAGTGTAACTAAATCACCCAATGAAACTCATTTCCATGAATGAGAAATCAAAATATAAAAAATATAGGAAATGTGCTATACTAAAATCTATTTTCTTCAATGGTAAACCTTGAATCAATCTACCAATCAAAAGAAGGCTAGAAAATTTCAAGCAGCCGACTTAAAATTAAGGAACCAAAACCGCAATCTCAATTCCTAGGTTTTAGGAACTAAAACCGAAACTAGTACTATGCGATTTCTAAATCTTGGAATCGGAACCGGAACCAAAATAAGTTCTTCTGGTTCCGGTTCCGGTTCCGAGTACCCTAAATTGTTCATATAATTAAAGTTACAAACTTGACATAATGATGAACGACTAGAGGAACAATGTCGTTCCTGCCTAGAACAGCTTGGAGGATAGAGGAACAAGCATTCCTTGATGTAGAACGAGTGTTCCGTTGCAAATCTTCAAATTAAATCTAACAGTAAATATCCAAACACAAATAGGGTTTCGCATCCAACAACCCAAAATAGCTCTACCCCCAAACATTAAAAACTCAAACCCTGACTCTTATTCTTCCTCTCTCTCCATATACTACTTTTACGACTCATTTCCACAATTTTGTGAAACAGGAGAAACTCTCTATACCTCTCTCCACATGCCTTCTTTAGCACTCTTTGATGTTAATAGAATGAAAGAAGAGAAGAAGATAAAGAAAATAACTCTTCAAAGCTTAGACAAAACTAAGTTTTTGACCGAAGAAAAAAAAAAGAGTCGAAGAATAAGGTGGATGACTCTGAAAGGTCTAAGAAGAAAGAGAGCAAGAAGCTAAAGGTTATGGAAGAAGATGACGAAGAAAGAAGTGAAACGAGCTCAGAATTAGGAGAGCCTGTGAATTTGAAATCCGATAAGAAGAAGAAAAAGCAAGCAAAAGCAGATACTAAGGTGGAAGAGGAGGAGAAGAGTGAGAATCCGAATGCAATATCTTAAAATATTAATTAAGTCCATCAAATATCCTAAAAATATTAGTTAAGTCCCAATTCTTAAATCGGTTCCAACACGAGTACCCAGATCTCAGTTTTGATTTCTTGAATTGGTGGAACCGATACCAGAACCACACAATACCGGCTCCATACATTTGAGAACCAAAACCAACCCGCACAGTGTCAGTTTCGGATAAGAACCGAAATCGAAACATCGGGTACCCCTCGGTTTCAGGTCCACCCGAAAATTTAGCTCACCCCATAATAATTTCCCTCATGGAAATTTGCCTTCTATTTAAGTAACAGAAAAACATTCATTTAAACAAATTGCTGTTTAAGAACTTCAACAAGAAACTAATCTCCTAAGCAAAATACTTCCAAAATCCTTGTGTAGTCAGACGTGTGCAAGGAGTAATGGAATAGTCACCGTTGTGTTTAAATTTCTCGGATTTTGTACAGCAAGGGAGTATTGTACAAGAATCGGCAGTCTGTGCAAAGTTTTTCTACTCAATAAGTCAGTTCATCCCAGCATTTTGAAGAAAGTAATTAACCTACTGAACCAGAAAATAGCAACAGTTAGCACCAACAAAAGTGCAAAAAACATAAGAAACTGTAAATTTAAATACAGGATCCAAGCACTAAATATTAATATTATGGCTTATTTTGAAAGACTAAAACCTTCACTTCTCTTTTTGTACACTATTTGCATTGGAAGAGGCATTTTTCTTCTTCACTTTCAGATGATGTGAAGAAGCCGTTTATTGGCATCAACATTTCTTTGATCAATGTTAATATTGTCTTTAAAATTGGTCTCAGGGACGAAGCCAGTAGCCCAGCACCAAAACAATTATACTAAAAAAAAGGATGATGTCTATTACCTCCACCAAAATGATAGTAGCCCAGCACCAAAACAATTATACACTAACTATTTTGTGTTATATCTCGGCAGAATGCACTTCCGCAACAACACTGGAATGCCTTTATAGGATGATCATGATCACTGAAGTCAATACCATAATCCTGCAACCATCTAAACAATGAGCAAATGCATATAGATTTCTTTTCCAAATCTCAACTCAATCAAAAAGTATTTAATCAGCTACAAGAAAATTTTTATATGTTTGTTGCCCCGAGAAAGTACAATTACAGGTAGTGGGAAGTGCTATACCTTAAAAAGGTATTACCAAAAAATGAATAAAGTAATTAAAAATATCCAGACCGTGGCTTAGAACTTAGGAAGTCTCTATCATATATTGGGAAATACTGAGATGGGTCTCTATAATACCTAGGATAGAATAAGGACTTAAGGATGAGGATACTTCATCCAAATGATCCATATCCTCCTGTATTGATACCTCCCTGTAAAATATAATGAACCTGCAACCTAACATCCATCAATTTCTTTTGTTGTTTATTAATCTGTTAAGTAGAGAGAACTTATTAAGAGGCAATGGCACTCTCACACTGCAAGAATAGGTGAATATGCACCCAACAATCATCCCATGTTTAACCCGGTCTTTAACAACTTCAGTGAATATAACTAATTGTGTATAGATCTCTACAAGTGCATTAATGGGGGCTCCAGACCATAAGAATATATAACTAGAAAAAGTTCATTGAAAAGTACTATAAATTTCAAGTTGTGATATTTCTATTTCTTTTTTGCCTTATTCTTCAACCCTTTTCATAAAAAAGCAAAAATATCTTCTACTGTATCCTATAATAAAACATATTTTAATTAAAAAACTATTTTATTAGTTTTGCAAGGTGTAACCTCAACAAAACAATAATAAAAGAAATAACTAAAAAAACCATGTAAAGCTGATGCTCTATAAAAAGTAAAGATGAACAACCATGAATTGCTAATCGAAGAACGTTAAAGCAGCACCACAGTTGCAATATTCAATTAGACAAATCTCATATTGCTACAAATACAAAATCGCACACATTAATTTGTGCCCAAAAAATAATTTTTTAATAAGCATAGATGAGAACTTGCATTAAACACACTTACCCAGGTCAGTTCTTCTAAAGCACTCACTTCTCTTGTTGTAAAAAGGGCAAGCTGCATACATGGGAGACATGCAGGTTTTATAGATGCACTTTTCAAAAAAATCTCTGGTTGTAAGCATGTATAAAATGCCCAAAAAGAAAAAGTGTTCGGATTCATACATGATAATAGTGACGATCAGGAGTCTCCACTTCGACCGGAATATCAATCAAGTTGGCATCAAAACATCTAAAAATATTAACAAGAACATTATATTGGCAAAGAGCAGTGAAAGAGGAAAATCATGGAAGGAAAAGAGGCATGGAGTGCACGGATCATTTTTAGAATCACTGAAAATAGTATAATCTTTGAAGAGAAAAGTTAGGCAAACTATCAAAATAACTATGAAACATGCGGAAGACTATACAAAAAGCAATATACTACTATTTCTTTATTATAAGGAATCAAAAACATAAAAGTAAAGAAATCAGCTTTGTATTTGTAAAGTTTGATTTTCAGAGAATGTAGTATACCTCAGTGTCATTTGAAGCCCCAAATAATTCTTATTGTCAAAGTCAAATTAGGAAGTCATCGAAGTCAATCTTATTAAGCAAAGAGACTTCTTGAATGTGTTCTTTTTAAGAGGCTATGTAAAAATGCTCCTCTGTTTTTGTGGTAACAAGGGTTGCCACAAAAATGTGAGCCACAATATTACCACTCAATAATCTTATTTTTCAATGCAACTTAACTAGGATTTATCCAACTTAACAATCAGTTAAAATGGCATTAAAATACTATGAAAGTTTCTCACAGAAAAAATAAGATAACAAAAGGAAATTTATTGCCACACTAGATAGATAAATGGGAAATAAAAGATCCTGTTAAATGAACACATGCAGAGATTATAAACCAACTAAACATGCAAGTAAAAAAGAATTACCTATGATTTATAAACCTTGCAACATTACCACGAAATGTTGCATCTAAACAAAGTGCCTCTTCATCCTGTAAAACTCTCTCAGAACCCCAGTCAGCATCTAATGTAACTGGATATGTATGTCTCTCATTGCCGTCACTTTGCATATTCCGTTCATATAATTCTGTGTTGGTCACTACTTCCCCAACATACTCACAGACAAAGGCTCCTTTAGGCAAATTCTGAAGTGTTCTAACACCCCATCCTTTTTCTTTGTCAGTCAAAAACACCTGAAGCATAAAGCATAATAACCATCTGTGAATTATGAAGAAATCAAACAATAAATAAATATGATTAAATCACACCAAATAGTAGACAAAGCTAACTTAAAAGACACAAGACACTTTAGTGAAAAAATTTCTACAATGTGTAGAACGACTTTTCTTAGATAGCATGGATCTTGCAACTGATTCAGTGTACAATTCAGAAAGACCAACAGATTATACGTGAATACCATATTCCAAAAATTGCAACAACGAAAATAAATCAAGTACTAACTAAAAAAATGATGAAAAAAGAAATAATGACAAAAGAAAACTTGTGCAAAGCAACAGCAAGGAATTTCAAGTAGATAATACCTGCAATTTGCATGTAATACCTCGCTGTACAACTCGATTTCCACACTGCATACTGCAACCGCATTTTCTCCAACATTCTTTGATAAACTTTCTGACAATATGGCCCTTGCATTTTTCAGGAAAGTGTTCATTCTTAGACCTCTCTATAGGGCAGTCTTGACAATAAACAAGATGTTGTTCAAGAGGTCCCTTTTCCATTTGCATACAAGCTCTTAGAAATTCCTCTTTCAGCAGACCTTGTGGTGTGTAAGCAAACTCTCCACCAGTTTCACGTGCACATGCACATGGTATTGAAAATGAGAGGCAATCTCCTGAACAACTTGAACAACAATCCTCATCCGCAATTCTGGCTAGTGAGATGTGTACATAAGCATTTTGGTAGACTATATTGTGTGGGATGTATGTAAATTTTGGCAAATTCTCATTCCCAGTATCATCTACCAATGAAATTTTCACATTTTCTGCACCTTTTGTTATGTCACTGATGCTTTGGATGGGCTTCTTCTTGTCACGGCTGACAGGAAGCTGCTGATTTGCCAGATTGGATGAATTCGAAGACCCAGAACAATTTAAAACCTTCTTACTTAGATCAGTTTCAGAACGAACAATTTTAGAACCTTTTTTCTTCTTCCCTGTAGCAGAACAATGATCCCCAACATTTCTATACACCTCATGAGAAGAATGTTTTATACCAGAACCACTAGTGAATTTATTATGCACTTCCGAAAAACTATCACACAAATCTTTCAGTAACTTCTTCACAGAAAATTGAGGCCCCACGATTTTGTCTAATCTGAGGTATTTATGCTCCAAGTGTTTCAGAACTGCATCAATATTTGGACCCCTGGAGTTTCCCTCACCAGGGGGAAAATTATAGTTCAGAGATAACTTCACCTCTCCCATAGCTGATGAAGCAATTTCAAGATTTCTCTTGCAACTTGTACTGCCACTGCATGCTGAAGTATCGTCTTCATTGTGATTCCCTGTTGAAGAGCCCATCACTGTGTCCAGAAGAGCCAAAGAAACATAGTTAGCAAATAAAAAGATGATCGAGTAGAACACTTACTATATGTAAATGCAGCTGACAAAAAATTCAACATTTAATTCCCAGAGTAACAACACAATCTGACACCTACAGGTATGGATTTCCTCACAGAAGCAGAAACGAAGATATTACTACAACACTGGGGAGTTAATGTTACCCCTTAGCTACCCTTGGATCATGGTCTAAGGGATCATTATCAACCTCTTTAAACATGTTGGGGGATGGTCAGCTGTTACCAATGTGTGTGACATTACAGAAATTCGAGACAGTAATGTTTAAATTTTCCTAGTGGTGGAACGGCACCTATACTTATTTCGGAGGATGGTCAACAATGACTATTTAGCAGTTGCATAATTGCAAGACAGGCAAGAGGTTCCCATTCACAGCTCCAAGTTTCATGATATGTAACCAATTATTTTGCCTCCTCTTCTACAGGAGCTTTGATGTAGATATCATATTGCAAACATTGAAAGATTTTATTTAATGCTTGATTTTCCGCTTCCATTTCCATGTCTAAGAATGAAAAGAAGAAAAGACATTTGGTGACAGTTGATATTGGACAAAATTAATGCTTTAGCCCATGCAATGCAACAAATTCTGGCACTAAAATACAGGAATATTATCAAAACAGAAGATATTACCACATAGTAGAGTATACAAGTACCTGGATGGACAACTGGAATAGGTTCTGAAACATGTGCCATCTTACCAACAGGTAGATCAGTTTTTGGCTTTATCAATTTTTTTACACAATGAGAATCGGGTGTAATTTCTCTCAATCTATGAGAACAACCATGTGCATCCAATGGCTGTTTAGAACAAATTGCAGACTCCCCATTCTGAGTTGATTTTCTATCTCTAAGGACCACAAGTGAAGAACTTCGCTCCTTCCTTTTGCAACTGAGCTGTGTATTCGGAACTACAGATTTAGATGCAGTTCTTCTGTTCATTAAATGTGCCCACGGTGACTCCATAATTCCATGTCTGGAATTAGTTTTAGGCATTTCATCCTCCTCTAGAGGTAATGTTTGACTAGAGTTAACCATTGCTAATGAAGCTTTATCTTCCTGCTGTCCCAAATGCAACTTTTTAGGAGGTACATCGGACTCATCATGCTCCACAACACCTACGTTTTTGTCTTCTAATCCCTACTGACAAAAAGTTAGAATAAAAAATCCATTCAATAGTTAAAGAAAAAAATCTTAAACAATAACTTATAGTCACTCAAGCCATTAACATCATATTCTAGAAAGAATATAAAGACAAATCACACAAGAACAAAATAAAAGACGTGTAAAAGTGCATTAAAAGATTTAAGAACAGACATTCTGATTTTCCTTGAGCTCAAAGTATGCATCTTTTAGTGCTCGGTAATCTTCTGCTTCTAGAGGTTCCCAGTTCCATTCAAACACTTCCAAAAGGTCCAACAACACTGGTTTCAACTCTTTATTTGGAATACCTAAGGCCTTCATTGCACCAAAAGCTCTGACTTGTCTTTCTCTGTCTTTCATGGCCTTCAACAATGAATAAAGTTTGGAAAAACCTTGTTCTGGACTCCGTGACCACCTATTCTTCTACTTCATAGCAAAATATAATCTGCATTAACAGGAAATGTCAGATAAGCATAAAATACATATGATATAATCCAACATATTTTACAATGGGGATCTGAAATCTGAATGTCAGATAAAATGACCTTTCCCTCAGACCGCAGCATTTGAAGGCACAATTACCTTTCACCATTGTTCCATAGATAAAACTACCAGCATTTATGCATACATATTGGGTCCAAGAGAAATAACTTCCATAATTATCAAATTCTCTTTGATAGAACTACAGCAAAGCTAAAAGAAGGAAATCAAAATAGTAGGCATTGAAAATGCCCCACAGAACACAAAAAATTATTATTGATTTCATGAATGGAACTGTATGTGCCATTCCAACAACACAACATACATTTACTGATTCACTTAATTGGAAAATTCTTCTAACAATGTCTGTCCTAGCACCAGCTCCACCTATGGCATTACAATGAAGTAGCCACATGTGCCTTTAAAAACCCTTCAGCACACCCACCAGCACAAATTTCAACAGAACGACTCTGCCATAACAACTTCTACTATCACTATAGCAAGGACCTTTACCACCTTTTACTCTAGAACAAAGCAAAATTTACTCTTTGGCAGCTAGGAAGGTGAAGCATCAACCAAGTAGAACCTAACCAATTTATTCAGCTTAGATGAGGTGAAACTTTCGAACTTTGGAAAGCAAAACAACACAAAACAGTGAAACTCAAAACTCTATTTCTATGTTCTGTCGACAACAAACCCAAACAGTTACCAACTAAATTCCTTGACTAATTTCAACCCATCACAAATCAAACCCAAGTAATCACATAATTAAATACTGATGCCCAAAAATTGGACCCACCAAATTCATTAAAAACACACACACATCACAAATCAGAATCAGACATCTCTTCACTTCAATTGTTTTCACCATAGAGAATTATAGTTACCCCAACAATCGATCATCAAATGATTCTATTTCAATATATATATATATATATATGAAGTCGACTAAACAAATTCAACCCATAAATAACTAAAGAAACTAACAAGATTAAATCGTTAAATAAACAACATCCTTCACTTTCAACCTAAACAGAATCAATTACTTTTATTTTTAAAAGTTCTTGATTTTCTGGTCCGAAGAAAATAGAACTCTGGAAAAAGTTAAAAAAGAAAAAAAAATGAGTCTACGTCAGAATCAAAGCCGTAACACGACCTACCCTAACACTATCAAAAACTTTCATCTGTTTTCCCAGCAACCAAACACCCTTAAATTAAAATATAAAACAATCACCGTTCAATGCCCTGTAAACTTACTTACCCACCAAGCAAACGGCAGAACGGAAGACCAGCGTTTCAAAAACTGAAACAAATTTGAAAAACACAAATGCAGACGAAATATGTTAACATAAACACAGCTGAAAATGAATAGAGAGACGTACGGATTAGTAACGGAACAGAGGATTCTCTTCTTCACAACACACCAAAAGAAAACTGCCTTAGTTAGTTTTACACTGGCAGGAGTCAATAACAAATACCTCCTCCAGGGTAACAAAAGTACAAAGACACCCAAACATTTCATTAAGTAGTAAAACTGTCCACATTTTTTGACAGACGTTATGAAAAACAAACTTCTACCCACAAGACTTTTTGAGCAAAACCATTTTTCCCTCGTATAATTTTCAGGGTTTATTTTATTTTTCCCTGTTCAAAAAGTATAAAAACCCTTCCTCCATCACAAACCTTATCAACCACTGTGATTATCCAACAAAGCTTCACAGCCAAAAAGAGAGCGAAGACTTTTTTCCCACTTAAATAATGGGTTAATAATACTTTTTCACTCATAAATTTTTAAATATTATTTTCGCATCTAAATTTATATTTTATTTCTGATTTCGATATTATTGCGACTTCATGTTATCATTATTCTCTTCTTCGATCTTCTTCGATTATCATTCGTCAAAACTCCTCAAACTCTATTCTCGTTGACCCCGTTAATCGACAGCAATCAAACAATTAGGGTTTACACAATCACCGCTTTCAAGTCAATTTTCTATCAATTTTAATCATTAAAATCTAATATTTCACCACCAAAAACTCATCGATCGTTCCCGACAGTCTAAACGACTTTGATCTTTATTCAGTTGAATATAAATTTAGATAATAAAATGGTATTTTATAAGTCCGTCGGTGATAAAGTGTCGTTAACACCAAATCCATATTCCCTACAAAACAAAAATCAAAGGAAAAAAGAGGAAAGAGAGAAAGGACTAAAAAAAAAAAAAAAAAACCAATCTCTCACCATTAGGTGGGCATCTTGGCTGTGTGATGCGACGGTGAGGGTGGGGCAGCCAAGTCCGTTGGGGTGGAAAGGAAGGTTTGCAATGGGGTGTGGAAGCCGGGGAAATTGGAGCCGCGACGGGGTGGAAGCAAGGAATGCGAGGGGGTGGTAATGTGAGGCGATTGGGTTTTTATGTGTTATTTTTGTTTTTCGAAATTTGGTTTATAATCTTGTAACTAGTTTATTAAATCACGTAAAACAAAAAATACTGGCATTTTTTAATTTTCAGAAGTTTCTAGGGTTTAACGAAAATGCTGTTGACATGACAAGGGTCATGCTGTTTACTTTCTTATTCTGCTGCTCTTAGTCTTAGTTCAAACCTCATGGACCTAAATGGACTCATCTCACTGTTTTCTCATTCTGCTGCTCTTAGTGTTAGTTCAAACCTCATGGACCTAAATGGACTCATCTCACTGTTAAAAGAGCTTTTCTGATTCGTCAAAGGTGGGAGACAATGAAGGGTATATACTATATACATAATTTATTATTTATTATTCGGATATGTCCAAGTCTAAAAATTTCTCTTTAAGGTAAAACAAAATAAAAACTATTACATATTAATATTTTTGTTCATTAATATTTCTATCAAGCTATATCAAAATTCAGAAATTATACATATTAATATATTTTTTTAATTAAGGGTAAACTTTAATGCCTGCGTATGTCATATGTGTCCCTATTGAGGGGCACATTTACATTAGTCTCTTCCACATATTTAAAAGGACACATAATTGATTCAAAGGGACATATTAATAATTCATTTTCTTTGGATGGTTAAATAGTTTGATAGGAATTTTTATCTTATACTCTCTCTATTTCATTTTAACGATCCTTTTTAGTTAATGCAGACAGGTTAAGAAACTTATCAATTTTAGGAAAAAATTAATACATATGACTAAATTATCTTTTTATTCTCTCCCTCCATTAATCTTGGAATAGTTTTCATTTTTCTTTCAATTTTCAATTCTTTTTTCACCAAAAATTTCAATCTGAAAATTACAAATATTTGTGATTTCCCACCAAAAGTTGTTCTATAAGAGAAGTAATAATTCTTGAATGTTAAGTTTTTTTCTGGAAACTGAATTTATAGTGTATATGTGGACTATTGTCATTAATAAATTTTGGAAAGGAAAAGAATATTAAACACCACCGTGAACTCATTGAACTTAGGAAAAAAATACATTGGTTGACTATTAGATCATGTGGACAACTATTGAGTATAGAATAAGGGTAAAATTGGTAAAAAAAAAGTATTCAATGTCTCCTCGATTTTACAAAGTGACAAAATAATTTGAAACAAATATTTTGTCTAAAAAGGACAATTAAAATGAAACAGAGAGAGTATTACTCAAGAAGTCTTGAATTCGAGTCCTTCCTCGATTGTAAATAAGGGTAGTCATTGGAACTCTTACCTTACTAGTATTTCCAAGGTCTCGGAGCATTAGTTGAGATACTTTAAACCCCTCCTCGATTGTTAATAGAGGTAGTGACTAGAATTCTTACCCTGTCAGTCTTTTCAGGGTTTAGAAGGATTAATTTAGATGTTGTGAGTCATTTCTCAGTTGTTAATTGGGATAGCCACAGAAACTCTTACCTAACTAATAATTCCAGAGTCTCAGAAAATTAATTAAGGTATGCGTAAGCAGCCATTGACACCCCGATCATAAAAAATAAAGAAAGAAAGAATATAAGAAATCCAAGTTTTGATTGTTTTTATGAATAAAATACGTTGAGTTTGATGTCACTTGAATATTTGTCAGCTTCTCAATGCCCTAATTTTATTTATTTTAATATGTTTCAAGTTTCAGCTCTACAAAGCAAACATTAATTAAAAGTTGTAATATTTTTCCAATTTATTTGATGAAAGAAGTATATAATTAATCATTCTCTAGTGTAAAACAAAAAATATTATGATTATCTTGTAATATTTTAGGAATATTAAAAAAAATGATAATAACCAGTTAACCACACTAAGTGGTCTGATGGTAAAAGAGCAAAGGATGATCAAACATAGTCTCTCAAGTTCGAGTCTTCTTAATGGTAAAAGAGCAAAAAAAGGATCTAAAATAGTTTCTCGAGTTCGAGTCTCCACCACCCCTAATAGGGGTGGCCATTGGAACTCTTACCCTGCCGGTAGTTTTAGGGTGGTAGTTCTAATGTCTCAAAAAATTAGTTGATGTATACACAAACTGATCCGAACACCCTCGGTCAAAAAAAAAAATATTAACAAAAAGTTAAAACCACTCTTGGTCCACATTCTTTCACTATAATATCTACATGTCAAATTGATATTCAAAGTATCATCCCTATAAAACAAAAATATTATATGGGAAGAAACATATATTAATCTTTTAATTCTGTAAAAATTAACATTCATATACAATTTTCTTTTTCCAACAATTCCACTTCCTTCACCAATATGCACCCTCCAGGTATAGTGCACATGATTTCTTGCAAGAGTTAAATATTAATGTCGGACACCAATAGTCACCAACCCACCAGAAACCATGAGATCATCAATGGGCACAATCCAGAAAATCTGCTCAAAGCAAACATCCAAACATAAAAGCATCAACTCAATAAGTTTATGAAAAAACAAATCATATAAGTTGTCAAAGTTTATAGCAATTACCATATATCATCTTTCTTTCTACATGACTTGAGAAACATCAGAAAGATTAACCCTAATCCCAAAGCCACTGCACCTCCCAAAACAATCGCTACTAATTTTCCTGTACTGCTGTTTCGTCCTTCGTGCTCTAACCACAACAATTTCGATATTAGAAAAAGTGAGTAAGTTCACTGACAGAGCTTCAATGAAAGAAGTGGATATGGGATGTTACACAATGTTTGTGTTTCCCTTTCCATGAATTCTTTTAGCTTACCTCTGTATGAATTGCCTGGCTCTTCATTTGGAATGAAACCATAGCTAATGAAGCATCTATCCAAATAAATTTGGCCTGAAATTGTGTTGCCACATTCTTGGCGAATAATCTGCACAGCATCACTTACACAAGCACCACACTGACGATGTCCCACTAAATCTTCTTCGCATTGCGCCATGACATGCACATGCTCATGGCTTCCTGAGTAAAACCCTCCACCACCTATTATACCATTCTCCATTTTTGCAAAGGCCTCGTCTCTCAAGTCTTCAAATCCGACATCTTCCGCCTTTTCGCCGCAAACCTTGTGAAGAACCTCGAATTTTGAAGTCTGATGAATGCTTAACTCATTAGTCTGATAGCGGAAGTAGCAGCCATGAAGCTGAATCCTTGCCGCTGCAGCTTTGTTGCACGAGGTGTTTGATATTTCCGGAAGGGAATTCACGCAGTTGTAGCAATCATCGTTGCTCAAATCCCTTCTGCACTGAAAGAGACCGGAGACGCCGGCGCCATTGTTATTATTCTCCAGATCACGACCTGCAGTGGCTCTAAAGAACTTATAATGAGAAGAGTGAGGCACCAATTGTTGAAAAAGAGAAGAAAGTGTCTGTGAGTGAGCATCATCATCAGTTGAGTGTGTGATTGTTTGGGTTGAACAATTCTTGAAGACTAAAGTGTTAAAATCTGAACTGTTTTTGACAAATGGCAAGAAGAGGTTAAACAGAAGAAGCAGAATAAGAGAGAATGGTTTCATGGTTGAATCCATTTGGAGGGTAGGGTGTTTTTTGTTGAAGTGAATAGCTGATTCAGTTCAACTTATTCTTACGGTTTCAGAGATCATGTACTTTAATTTCTAAGTGCAAGAATAAAACAAAGCTATTGGAAACAAAGTTCTTGGGAAGTTGGGTTTGTTTCTTGCCTAATTCTAACCAACTTAGCGTAAATTTTCACCTATTAATTCCCAAAAGAGTAAACGAACTTTTTCCCACCCAAGGTTTGCCTTAATGACACTTTCTCGCCCAAAAAGTTTCAAAATACTACTTTTTCACCCAAAGTTTATATTATGTTACTATCCAAAATATATTTCACTTTCTCAACCGGTGTTCGGCGAGTTACCAAAAGGCAAGGTAAGAGTGGTTTTATATAGTAAAGGTAGGTGGATTGAATGATGGTGACCGATTGAATATTCGTTGTCGAAATCAACTGAAAATCAACCAAAAACAGAAAACACTAGTTTTGCGGTAGCCAACAATCGACAAGAAATCAAATGTTAGAGTAAGAGGGGTTTTATAGAGAAGAGATCAGAGGTTCAAATGGTAATGACAGAAATAATTTTCGTAATCAGAATCAGCTAGAATTGGTTTTGGATAGTAACAGAATATTAACTTTGGGTGAGAAAGTGTCATTAAGGCAAACTTTGGGTGGGAAAAAGTCGTTTACTCTTCTCCAAAAATAGAGTTAAATCACTCAACTATCTAATCAACATATTTCGTTTCTAAAGTCATATACTCTCATTTATTATAAGTTAGTTGATCCGCTCAAAAAACTAAGATATATATCATTACTATAATTAAACATTTTTCTTTATTAAAATGTTATCTTGAGACCAATTTCTGACCTACATAATGAGTTGAATATATTTGTGAAAAGATTTAAGACCAACTGGATTTGGTTGTTAAACATGTGTGCCCAAGTTATTACTTGTTTCCAACTTCGGAAAAGAAAAGGTAGTTAAAAACTATTACCCGTTGAAATTTAATCCATTCCTAACCTCTAAAAATAAAAGACCAATCCCAAAAATACACAAATATTTGAACTGGGAAAGTAACCATGTAACCATTTCTTGGTCCAAAACTCTTCTCATATAACCGATCTCCCTTGCATTTCGCCAACTACATCCCCATCAAATTCACCTCTAATATTTCCCATTTCTTCACTCCTCAATTTACTCTTAACTCACAGGCAAAAACCTTAGCCCCCTCACAAACAGCGTACCAGGCCGTGAGTAGGAACCCTCGCACAAGCAGTTCCAACTCCGCCGGCGCTATATTTTAGTCACATTATCCGCATTCATCATCAACACCACCGCTACTACGTCTAACACCACTACTACCACTGCAATTATATTAAAAAACAATGGTGGCTCCTTCCCGCGTTCTTGAAATCAGTGTAATTTCCGCCCATGACTTGGCCTTCGTTTCTAAAAGCATGAAAACTTACGTAACTGCATGGATCCATTCTGACCGGAAGGTCACCACGAGGGTTGATCAAAGTGGACTTAATAACCCGAATTGGAATGAAAAATTTGTGTTTCGGGTAGATGACAGGTTCCTTGCCGATGAAACTTCGGCTATTATGATCGAAATTTACGCGGCAGCCTGGTTGAAAGATGCCCTCATTGGCTCCGTTCGTGTTCTCATCAGCCACCTGTTTGGTTCTCTTTCGAACAACGCGTCAGCCACGCGGTTTGTCGCGTTGCAGGTTCGCCGTCCGTCGGGGCGGCCTCAGGGGATCCTTAACATGGGCATCACGCTTTTGGATAACACAATGCGGAGCTTGCCGCTTTTGACCGAGCTGTGCGCGATGGGTGGAACTTTTAGCGATATTTCATCGATAAGAAATTCGATCGATGCGAAAACGAAGAAGTTAAATAAGGATGATCTAGAACTTGGGAAATTGAATATCAATAATAAAGCCAGAAAGAACGTGAAACTACGTCGTTCTTTAAGCGACATGACGGATTTAACCAGCGAGGATTACGCGAAACACGGTGTCGTTAATGTTGGCTCAATGTGCAATGGTTCGGTGGTGAAAGGAAACAATAACAATGGCAGCATGGTAAACGAGTCGTTATGTTCCTCGGACGTGGGGCCTTCGGCGTCGGTGGTGGCGGCAGCGATAGCGAAAGGGTTGTATAAGACACCGGCTCAGGCGAAGACGGCGCCGGCGCCAGCAAATGAAGGAGGGAATATTGGGTTGCTGACTGATGGTTGGACGGGGAAGGTGCAGAATGAAGAAAACCTGAAATTTAGGCTTGATGGATGGCGTAATGAGGTTCAACCAATTTATGATCATTCTAAAATGAGAGCTAATAGTAAACGCGGTGGGCGTGCGCGGCGGAGGAGGGACGGCGGAGGGTTGTTTTCGTGTTTTGGTAATGCATTTGGGTGTGAAATCTCGATTACCTGTGGTGGAGGAGGGGGAAACACCAAAAAGAGGTATCAAAATGGGAAGGTATGTCACCTTAGCGCGGTTGATGATAGTATTAGTATTCTTCAATCATACGTTGCGAGGTTTTAGAGAGGGAGTCAGGAATTAATTAAAATTTAATTAATTTAGATGAAGAATTGATTTTATATAAGATATTCTTTAAATGTTATTTAAATTAAATTAAATCATGTTGAAGAACATGATGATGATATAGTATTAAGTTATGTCGTGTCTGTCTTTTGGTGTAAGGAATTGAGGTTGGTAGCTAGATTAATTTAGTTGCACGAACTTCAATGTACCCTTTTAGACATACAATCCATTGACACTGCTTGTATGTATAGCCAAGATTTAATTTAATAATATTTGTTTGTTCTTTGTTCATCAGAAATATGATCTCTGGAATTCCTGTTTCTGTTTTCTTCTTGCCAAAATTATTTAGTCATATATAACACTTATATGGGAAGCGGTTCTGGGTACTCGCCGAAATTGCTAGGAATTGGAACCAAAATTGGAACTGGTCGGTTCCTAGCAAAAGGAATCGGAATCGAAACCAATTGGTTTCAGTTATTCGATTCACAGAATCGAAACCTGAAATGTAGGTTCAGGTTTCTTTTTGGGTACCCTATAAAATTTAATTACCCCTATTAAGTTAATAAATTACAAATACACCCTAAATAACTACAAATACACCCAATAGTTCACAAACACCCATACACCCTCAATTCCTAAACCAGCTCTCAACAAGGTACTCGAATGTAGTCTTTGATTCCAGTTCCCGGTTCCAACATTGCAAGAACCAGAACCGAACCCGGGAATTCCTGATTCCAATTTTCCAGAATCGAAACATACCCTGTAAGGGAACCAACCGAACTCAGAACTGGCGGTCTAGGTACCCCCTAGTTCCAGGTCTACCCTTTACCCATGAATTAACCCATTCCTTCATCAAGTTGAATATGGAAAAAGTGACTACAATGACTCCATATCAAGATTGTTAAATCAAAAAATAGGTCAATGGTTTTTATATAGAAATAATAATATAATCTAAACGTTGATATCAATTAATTGAATTCAAATGCTATGAAGGGTGAGATGAATATGTATAGTATAGGTAGAAAATATTTAATTTTGTTATGTCTGAAAAGTTAGGGCTGACGTGGACTCTCGTCAACAAGAGCCAAACAGGGTTCAGGAAGGTTTTGTGCTATCTAGGCACTACCACGTCGCGTAGTGACGCAAGGGGTATGGTTCTTGTCAGTGCAGTAGGTGAGTGCCAAGCTTGTGAGTGGTTAGGAATTAGCCACCTGCCCAAGCCTTACGCAATTTGAGGATATTTCTCATGCAGACCACCAATGGGACGCAAAGAAAGATTTGCACAACACCTACCCACTTGCAGACTTGTAATCATTACCTTGAACTCTCCCACTATAAATAGAGGATACCCCTCTCATTTGTGGGATTGGCTAATCTTAGTCTAAAATAGCTTACACACATACTCTTTCTCTCTCTTTGAATTCTCTCTAGATTATAACTCAGTTCGTTGCACGCGACTTGATTTTACCCATCTATTAATACAATAACAATGGACGTATGATTCTCTTTTGAGCATCTGAACCACTTTAAATATCGCTTCTTATTCATTGTATCATTTCATGTCCTTATCATGTGTGATTTCTAAGTCCGCTTAGGACTTTGCACGTGCGAGTCATTGGTGTCAAAATCAAGCATCAACAGTTTGGTGCTAGAAGGAGGGCGTGATTTAGTATCTGCTCTTCATTAGAAATCTCTGACTAATCGGCCCTACCAATCAACAAATGGCTCGTGGTTTCGAACCTGAGCGAACCAACTATGACAATGAGGAAATCCCTCAGGTACAAGAAGACACTTCTCCCGAAGTGCCGCCAGCCCAGCAGAGTATCATGGCAGATATTTCTTTAAGCTCGCGGCTCGACCCAACCGTCATGAGTTACCTGGAGAGGTTCAATAATACTCTCCAGATGGTTAGCCAAAGGCTAGACCGCTTGGATCGAGTCGTGCCACCAGAATCTAATGAGGCGGTGCTATTGCCAAACACATCTGCAAGTCGCGTGAAAGCATGGAAAAGGGTGAAAGCCCACACAGCGCCCATTACAGAGCGTCAAAGAAAGGGAAAGCAAGTGGCAAACACCGGATTGGAGGGTTCCGAGAGACCAGCAAACATCAGTCATGCCATGGGTAGAATACCCATGGCACTACGACTCGGCGACATGTCACAGTAAAAGTCATCCCACGCCACATCGCATGGGCATTCCCACAAAAGTGCAAGGCGAGGAGATTTCTAATATCGCCGAAATAACGACCTCGACCGTCGTCATGCAGGAAATTCTTGTCGTTTGTGGGTCGGTTCAGACCACCGCAGAGATCGGGAAAATTCCCCAAATCACTCAATACCGTCACACGGCTCCAGCCAACGGTGTCAAGGTTTGCCGGAGCTTCCAACCGAGTCGAGGAAGAGCCCGATTTTTGGTCTTTTCTCAACTGCAACTGTGAGGGTCGAACCCATATTGCAGAAAGTGATCCCCAGGCAGCTTCGCTGCCTCAGATTGAGGAACTACATCG